AATTGATCCCTCTCTCTGCCTGCCTTGTTTACTTTAAAGGAGAGGTAACATCAGTACTTTTTTTTGTGTGGGGGGGGGGGGGGGAAAGAAGGCTGCAGAAGCTGCCAGATCAGAAAAACACTGCTCGTCTCTAGCCTGTCGGAGCTTCCTTCACAGACCAGCTGCCAGCCAAGGCTAAGGGCCTGGTCTGCCCTGCCATAAAATAAGGTTTTCAGGTTGCATTTTCTCTTCCCAGAATAAGGCTAGTATCCTCCTCAGTGCGCTCCTCGGCCCGAAACCGTTGGCAACGTATGAGATGTTGGAGGTTGAAGACCACTGGCTTAGATCAACCATTGCATCCATTCTGTGGCATAGCTACGGTTGTGGTAGTTGCGCCAGCTCTTTGGCTTTATGTCCCTAACCTATACAGACCACTCCTACCTGTATTTGTCCCATTGTTTTCCTTTCCTTCCGGATGTTCTTTTCTCCTGGGTCATCCTAGATCTGGTTCAGTCTCCTTAGTATCTTGCCCCTGTGTCCTCTGACCAGTGCGGTATTTAGGCATAAGCTGACTAAGCTACAATTTATGGCCACACAATATCCAGGAACATCATTATTTGTTGACAAATGCATTTTTTTATGTATGTGAAAAATTGTCTGCATTTGGCATCATGTGTATAGAAAGTGACATATTATGCATCATATTTATTGATGACAGAATCAGGGTTTCTGCATTTGGGAAGTCAAGAAAACAAAATATGTTTTCAGTTGTAATGTAGAGCCTTTCAGAGGATTATGTATTATAATCTCTGTGATTATTTATTATTAATAACAAATTAACGAGAATATATTTCCATTATCCCTGTATTTAACATGTGTATATATATATATATATATATATATATATATATATATATATATATATATATATATATATATATATATATATATATATATATATATATAAGGTTTTCTAAGATTAGCTGAAGTAATTCACAATGGTCTGACTGACTGACTTTCTACCCCACCAGGACATCACACAAGTGATAAACACCTGATGACACAAAGTGCCACCATGTGGATGAGGATCACCGTGGAGAGGTCCCAGAAACCGCGTTCAGACAATTGGCCATATTTATGGCCTGCCTATATTGCGGCCCCTGGCAAAAGCCAGGGTGGAACTTCAAATAACAAAAAAATTCCTCCTAACAAGGACGTAAGGATTATGGTTCACAATGGTTGGGGCTTTATACAACTCAGGACCTCATCAAAGATTTTGAATGTCAAAGTTATGACAAAAATTGTGTTTCTTTCAGTAGCTGTGTGGATTTTTTCATTTTTTCAGTAGTATAGATGAAGGTAAGGTAAAGGTAAAGTCGTGAGATGTGAACCAGCGTCATTGCACATGGTTTTAAACCATGAGTGCTCTGCCACCAGTACGGACAGCTGATATGCATTGTCCGCCTGTGTCACCGCTCGCACGTAACTCTGTAGCTACAGCGACGGTGCTCCATTTACCCCAGAGTATCACTCCGGTACCAATTTCCTAGAGGCTGGGTGAACCCCGGGAGCGGCCCGGTTTCGAACACCGACCGTGGCTGCAGCAAGTCGCAGCTGGATTTGAAAGCGAGCTTCTTATCGACTGAGCTCACCGACTTCATTGATAGATGAAGACAGAAAAGATGATAAAAGTCTTTTTTCACATTCACCAGTAAACAGACATGATGGGAATAATCCCTCATGGATTTCGCCATTACCACAATGTCTCTTAACATCACGTGTAAGGCAGTAAAGTTGTACATATGAGACCAGTGCAGACCTAAGATCCAGTCATGTATCTTCGACCAAACTGAGTACCATGGGTACTTGGTATAATTGTCTGTTGATGTTATATTATATATTAGATTGATGTCAGATGCTTAGGAACTCAAATAAGTAGAACTCCAATGTTATCTTTTACACTATCCTCTGGAAAGGTGCCAATCATCAATGTTATCTTTTGTGTTCACAACATGCACTCCTTAGTCAGTAGTTAAATTCTGTCCAATGGCTAATTTCATGTCTGAATCATTTAACTCGACTTCCATTTTGTCAGAAATGTGTTCTGTATATTCATGTTTTCTGGCTTTTTAGAATTTGACAACTTGATTTTGTTACATAAAAAGCTTCTTTTGGCATTATTCTTCTTCTTGATTTTCATCTTTTGCTTCTGCTTCTGTTTCTTTACTCCTTCTTTTACCTCTTCACTGATTTTATCTTTTCTTGTTCTTTGTCTACCATGGGCATTACATTGTTCTCCTAAGAATGTCTTTCAGATACGGTGGACAGCCAAAATTATTATTTAAATTGTAATTTAGCAGATAAAATAATCAGTAAAGATCAACACACATGAATTTGGTCAACAGTGAAGTATAATTGCACAGCAAACAAACAACACATTCGTTATCATCAGCTGTTTAACAAATCAGGATTTTAACAACTGGTTAAATAATTTGTCTTCGCTATTAATAAACCATTGCCCATGAATAATGCATAATTTTTGTTACCAGGGAATTTTGAAATTCAGTTAAGATTGCATAGAAGTTGCAAAATATGGTTTATAGCAGAAAGATGAGAACATCATGATAACAATTAGGAGCTTTCGGCAGAAATTAACTCAAAGAGGAGAACTTATTACCCGCACAAGAAAAAAAAACTAATTTTGCATTTTTTAAACATGACATAAGAAAGATAAAATAAGACAACAGAGAAGTCTCAGGGGGAAAAGTCAGATGGAGCATGAGAGAGAGAGATTCGAGAGAGATCTGAGGGAGAGAGATGGAGAGAGAGATAAAGAATGTTGGACAGTTAAGTACCAAGTCATGCATGAACATGTGTATTAAAAAAAACAAATGACAGCAGGCGGGACAGAAAGACTTGGAAAGACATGATTACCAATGCCACACTGCATAGGCTTTGAGAAACAGAAGTTACAAGAAGCCACATCATGGAATTTGTCAAGCACTCTGCCTGTCCCACGTTTTCCCCATTGCTTCTTACATCCTTAGCCAACGAATAGATCTTCTCATCTTTTGCAGCTCATTTTCTTTGGCAAACACTAGCAGCAGTACAATAGGAATGTTACTCTTCGACTTCTTTAATTTGCTGAAATAAATTATCTACATCTGCAATTTTTGTCTCTTGTACAAACTCCACTGTCTTTTTTAGTTCATCCAATGGTCTGTAAAATTTACTTTCCACTGTTGTTCTTTAGGCCTAAAGATTTGTCTTAATATGTCCTTGGAATATGTTTTTCTGATGTCTGGGGTAACACACCACATATGCACATGGATTATGCACCAGTTTTTAATTTTGTATATACCTCAATGCAGGTTGTAAGATTATATGAATGATATGATAAACTTTAACTTCTCCTGGGACCTAGTATGGAGAGATTTCTTAACAAATTATTAAATACACATGTTATTCCATTCATTAGATTTTTAACAACGGATGCATAAACTGCTAATGAGAACACAAATGTATCTGGAGTTTGGTTTTATAAATAATTTTTGAAAATATTTTTAATTAAATTGAGAAAAAAACATATTAGTACAACAAGCACAAATGCATTGAATCTAAAATCAGCTGGATTCCTCTGAAGCTTCCTCCCCCCCCCCCCCCCCCCCCCCCACCACTGCACATTGAAAACCACTGTCCTCGTTAACGATAAACTGTATCTTCCAATGAATGCCTTAGATGACAGTAGCAAAATGTTTCCACCAACGATTGCTTGCCTTTGTTTAAATCAACATTTGAATAATCTTTCTTTTGTTTGCTTCTTCTTCCTGTATGTTGTCTGGATAGTTTTTGCTCTGGACATAATTACATTATATCTGATCACAGAGAATTTGCAACATTGATGACTTTCAATCAATACAACTGACCTTCTTTTTGGTAGATGCATTCACCTTCTCTGTTTGCTCTAAGCAATATCTACTTTATGCTGCTTGGCATAACAATCTATCAGATAATGGATAGCTGAGCCAGGGCTCTCTCGGCTGCTGGGTATGCTGTCATACTGTGAGAAGTCTCAGGTTGTCAGTTGACTCCTTCAATTCCTTTTCCTCTAGGTCTAGCTCTACATCTCAGTGTTTCCATTAACCCCTTGTAACACTGTTAGCTTCTTTTCATGACCTGTTGTTTTGTTTATACAGAATTTATTTGTTTATATACAATTTATAGAGTAGTTTTTGAGTGTGAAGATTTAAATCCCTACCAGTTAGCTGGATCTGTTACATTTTCAATCTTAACAGAACACAGTTTGACACTTATGAATGTATCTTCACACATTTCTCTCATTTACTAATCGATTTCAGTCATCTACTCTTAAAAAACTTGCTCACGTTATACCCACCTAAGCAGGCTAGCAGTTGCACAAATAGAATCATCTCTTCCTAACAAGCATAATCGAATTTTACACCCACCTAACTTCCAAGAATTGCCAGAACAGAAACACCTCTTTCTGTCAAACCTTTTGTTTTTCATGCTATATCTAACTTCCAAACAGTTGCACAGTTAGAACAGAATCGGGTTTTACCCTGGCAGTACGCAACAGTACATAGTACTGGTGTTTTTTTTTAGGCATCATTTTTATTCAGTGCTACTGTAATAGACACTTTGTGGTGAATATGTCTATGAAAAAGCAACGGTTAGAATTGCATCTTCCTATCAAAGCTCATTTGACTATGCTTATCTAGCTCCCAACATAGGCATCTTCTAGTCAAATTGTATTAGTAAGCCTTCAACATGTGCAGAACTCAGTCACATTTTGCAATCAAATTTCATTACAGTATGCCTTTTTAGCTCCGAATATTCACAAAACACATAATTCTATCACTCTTCTTTATACTATACCAGCTTAAGCTGCCGACGATTACATAAATAGAATCACACCTCCCTGTCACGCTTTCTCTTAAATAATGTCTGCATTAATATGAATATAAATTGCCGTCTCCTTTTATGCTCCTGAGACACTCACCTCAGTACTCATCATTGTCGACACCGTTCTCAGTGGCTGCAGAATCCATGCCCACTTCTTCGTAATCTTTCTCCAGCGCGGCCATGTCCTCTCTAGCCTCAGAGAATTCACCCTCCTCCATTCCCTCTCCGACATACCTGAAGAGAAAGTTCGTACAGTAAGTAAATCCTAGTCAACACAAACTTAAGATGAACACAGTGTTAATATGAACAAAACTGTGGTCACAATGGGATGTTTCAGTCTCCTGTAAGCTTGAATGTTTCTAACATGAACTTTTGATTCTTGGAATTCATGTTACCACATCTTTACTGTGATACTGGTACCACTAAAGTGGCTACTGTATAATTCTTTGACCTTCAAATGCTCTGAAGGCAAAAAGTACAGTACTTTCAAATATACCAGGTTACAGCTGTGTTGTATTTATCATCAGTCAGCAAGTTCTTTACAGAACATTGCTCTCAAAAGTCTCTGTCCCTGGCCAATTCTCCAGCCCTATGTGCTTGCACAGTCAATTCCGGTTAAAATGGACGCTAGACAGCGGCGCCGTTCGGAACAGAGGCAAATTTTTTGCTTCTGCCGGACGGTGGCCGATGCATTTTTGCTCCATTTGTAGACTGGATATAGTTTCGTCGCCCAGCTTCTGAGTTGAATGCATGGCGTGACCCTGTGAGCTGCGGATTGCATTTGGAATGTTTTTTTTCGACTGTGACCAACGTGGTGGTGTGAATTGTAGATTCAGAAAATGGCGCGATGCCTGTCGTTCAATGCTGGCGGGACCCGAATTAAAATTGATCACGCGGACAACTGCTGATCTGTTGATGACAAGTTCTGCTATCATCAATGATGAACTGCATTTCTAATGTTGGACTGTTTGTGTTTGCACTTCGGATGGCTACCATGTGCTTTAATGTGAGTGTATGCTAGATATGCTGAGACAGCAGTCTGTCAATCTTTCCACAAGGGACTGTGATAGACATTCTGAGTGTTTTTCGCTGGCACAGGAGCGGAGCAAAGATGGGGCAACTCTTTTGCTATGAAGCTGAAACTAAGACTACCAGACAGTCAATGTATCTTCTGTCTTGTATTCACCTTCATAGAGGTCAGCCTCTGTCTCATTTTCTGGAAACTCACCCCCCCCCCCCCCCCCCCCATAAGGAGGGGCAAGGGGGTGACCATCATAAAGATAGAGAAAAGTGACTCTTTAAATATGAAAGTACACCCGGCGGAAGAGCTGGTGAGAGACAAAGTTTTTTTTTTAGGCACGTGATGAGCGTGACGTTCTGCAAAGGACCTGCTACATAATGATGATGCTGAAGTGCCATACTAGTCTGATTTGTTAAGTCCTGAATTCCCATGACATTTCAGGGTACATACTTAAGGTTAGATTAACCTAGCCAACATGAACATTTTTTAAATTTTTTTATTTTGATCTCAAAGGATTTAAACAGATCACCACAACATCTACAGGAAAAATTAGAGCCCCCTGCACTACTGAGCTGGATAATCAAATAAGATCCTATAGAAACCCATGACTTACCAGTGGACAAAAGCTCTCTTGGCATACATGAGGTCAAACTTATGATCCAGCCTGGCCCATGCCTGGGCGATGGCCGTATTGTTGCCCATCATACAGACAGCTCTCTGAACCTTGGCCTGATCGCTGCCTGGAACCACTGTCGGCGGCTCGTAGTTGATGCCCACCTGGGTACAAGTGAGAGTATACAGGTATACAGCATGGTAGGTGTGATAGTACAATTTACAGGTGTACAAAAGAAATAATGTCAAGTACAGGATCCTTCAAGTGTGTGGGGGATATAGCAAGACATCAATGTAGCTGCTTTGGGATATATCCTTTAAGTGGTGTGTTTTCGTGTGGTTTTGTTTGATTTATGTGTGTATGCCGATGGAAGGCTTCATTTGTGTTTGTTATATTGTGAAGCTCTCTGATCTACTTTTCATCCAGTTTTATATCTTACCCAAAATAAGCCCTGGCACAATTTTTTCAGGATGATTTCAATATAAGCCCTACCCCAAAATAAGTCCTAGCAGTTTTTCAGGATGCTTTTAATATAAACCCTACCTCAAAAAAGCCCTAGTTAGGATCAGTAGCTAGAATACATTCATCCTTTCTTCGACCAACATTCAGAATTTCTACCTTGTTCAGATGGATGTTCTTATAGTTAAGGCTTTTGTAGCAGCAGCCACAACAAAATCTGCTCATTCATACCCTCGCACCCCTTAATATCCCAGACAATATATCCACTTGGGTCTCCATGGGATAGTGGGCAAGCTATTTGCCTGCCACTCTGACAGTTTTAGGTTTGCCCCATGGCTGCCTCGTTCAGTTGACTGGTGCAATATTTATGGAGATCCTTGGGGAATTACACCAGAGTTATGGAGTTAATGCTTTGTGCAACGCTCACTGCAGTTAGCTAGACTTCTGCAAGAGAGACACCGAGCTATGTAGGATAATGAAGTCAATGAAATGAAGTCGCGATTTTCACTGATTTAGCTTAAACATTTTTTCTTTTTTTTAATCCATGTAAGCTCCTGTAAGCTTGGCACTCAAATAAAGGAAAGGGAAGATATAGATACATAAACAAGTCTGAACAATAGGAAGCTAAATGAAACAAAACGTATGACAAACACAGAGACACAAAACCAACCTTGAATCCAGTAGGGCACCAATCCACAAACTGAATGTTGCGATTACACTTGATGAAACTGATAGCCTCATTGACATCCCTGGGAACCACATCCCCCCTGTGGTAGAAGATGGCAGATACTCATAAATGAAGCAAATCCTCCCTCATTCAATATCCACTTGTTTAAAAAGCATTGAACAACTCAAATCAGCATTATACTTATCTACAGAAATAGGTACTTTGTCCTTTCCTTAAGTCATCGGTTTGTCTCGATTTCATTTAAATCATCTGCTATCGCAATTCAATCCAACTTTCTCCATCTGATATTGTAGCCAAAAACTGGAGATGGACTGCTTTAGTTGGAAGTAATGAATCTTCCTTGTCTTCTCTTCCTCCAGATACCTGATTGTGGTGTTGAGTAACATGTAAGGATATTCCATCCACTTCTGGACTTTAGTCCTGTTCCAGAACCTGAGTCCTGTGTACACATTCATGTTGCAGATCTAGCTTATTTGTATGAAGACTATTGTCTCCTCAACTCTCAGGCAGATACACTGTGACTTCAAAGGAAACATCCCTAATTAGTTGACTCTTACGACATGCTTCTTAGAAAGCAGTGGGTCTATTGATTTTACTCCAAAATGGTGCCCTGAGGTCTTTGTCTTGAATCTGCTTCCAGGTCGAGGCAGTCTAGAATAGGTACAGGTAACGTACGAGTAGGTAGAAGCAGCCATTGTAATGTTGACCACATCAGCCATCAAGGGCTGGTTGTTCTGTAAACATTTGATGAATTTAACCAAATGTGTCTGATGTACCACTGGCCTGAAAATGACCCATGGCGTTTACTTACTAGACCAGGAATTCGTCTATGACTACCTTGTGGGCAAAACAGAATTTCTCCACTACACCACCCAGCTCCAATATAGACTGCTAAAAAGAGATACATGACTCACACCTTTCAGTGAAAACATACATGACTCACACCATTTAGTAAAAACATACATGACTAACACCATTCAGTGAAAACATACATAACTCACACACCTTTCAGTAGAAACATACATGACTGACACACCTTTCAGTGAAAACATACATGACTCACACACCTTTCAGTAAAAACATACATGACTCACACACCTTTCAGTAAAAACATACATGACTGACACACCTTTCAGTAAAAACATACATGACTCACCCCTTTCAGTGAAAACATACATGACTCACACACCTTTCAGTAAAAACATACATGACTCACACACCTTTTAGTGAAAACATGCATGACTCACACCTTTTAGTGAAAACATGCATGACTCACACACCTTTCAGTAAAAACATACATGACTCACACACCTTTTAGTGAAAACATGCATGACTCACACCTTTTAGCGAAAACATACATGACTCACACACCTTTTAGTGAAAACATGCATGACTCACACCTTTTAGCGAAAACATACATGACTCACACACCTTTCAGTGAAAACATGCATGACTCACACACCTTTCAGTAAAAACATACATGACTCACACACCTTTCAGTGAAAACATACATACATGGCCTCACACACCTTTCAGTGAAAAACATACATGACTCACACACCTTTCAGTGAAAACATACATGACTCACACACCTTTCAGTGAAAACATACATGACTCACACACCTTTCAGTGAAAACATGCATGACTCACACACCTTTCAGTGAAAACATACATAACTCACACACCTTATAGTAAAAACATACATGACTGACACACCTTTCAGTGAAAACATACATGACTCACACACCTTTCAGTAAAAACATACATGACTCACACACCTTTCAGTAAAAACATACATGACTGACACACCTTTCAGTAAAAACATACATGACTCACACCTTTCAGTGAAAACATACATGACTCACACACCTTTCAGTAAAAACATACATGACTCACATACCTTTTAGTTAAAACATGCATGACTCACACCTTTTAGCGAAAAAATACATGACTCACACACCTTTCAGTGAAAACATGCATGACTCACACACCTTTCAGTAAAAACATACATGACTCACACACCTTTCAGTGAAAACATACATGACTCACACACCTTTCAGTGAAAACATACATGACTCACACACCTTTCAGTGAAAACATACATGACTCACACACCTTTCAGTGAAAACATGCATGACTCACACACCTTTCAGTAAAAACATACATGACTCACACACCTTTCAGTGAAAACATACATGACTCACACACCTTTCAGTGAAAACATGCATGACTCACACACCTTTCAGTAAAAACATACATGACTCACACACCTTTCAGTGAAAACATGCATGACTCACACCTTTCAGTGAAAACATGCATGACTCACACACCTTTCTGTGAAAACATTCATGACTCACGCACCCTTCAGTGAAAAGATACATGACTCACACATCTTTCAGTAAAAACATACATGACTCACACCATTTAGTAAAAACATACATGACTAACACCATTCAGTGAAAACATACATGACTCACACATCTTTCAGTAAAAACATACATGACTCACACCATTTAGTAAAAACATACATGACTAACACCATTCAGTGAAAACATACATGACTCACACATCTTTCAGTAAAAACATACATGACTCACACCATTTAGTAAAAACATACATGACTAACACCATTCAGTGAAAACATACATGACTCACACCTTTCAGTGAAAACATACATGACTCACACCATTCAGTGAAAACATGCATGACTCACACCATTCAGTGAAAACATACATGACTCACACCATTCAGTGAAAACATGCATGACTCACACTATTCAGTGAAAACATACATGACTCACACCATTCAGTGAAAACATACATGACTCACACCTTTCAGTGAAAACATACATGACTCACACCTTTCAGTGAAAACATACATGACTCACACCATTCAGTGAAAACATACATGACTCACCATTCAGTGAAAACATACATGACTCACCATTCAGTGAAAACATACATGACTCACACCTTTCAGTGAAAACATGCATGACTCACACCATTTAGTAAAAACATACATGACTCACACCATTCAGTGAAAACATACATGACTAACACACCTTTCAGTAAAAACATAGGTGACTCACACACTTTTCAGTAAAAACATAAATGACTCACACACATTTCAGTGAATACATATATGACTCACAACTTTTACTGAAAACATACATGACTCACCATTTAGTAAAAACATAAATGACTCACACCTTTCACTGAAAACATACATGACTCACACCTTTCACTGAAAACATACATGACTCACACCTTTCAGTGAAAACATACATGACTCACACCTTTCAGTGAAAACATACGTGACTCACATCTTTCAGTAAAAACATACATGACTCACAACTTTCAGTGAAAACATACATGACTCGCACTTTTCAGTAAATATATACATGACTCACACCTTTCAGTAAAAATATACATGAATCACACCTTTCAGTAAAAATATATATGACTCACAGCTTTCAGTAAAAAAATACATGACTCACACCTTTCAGTAAAAAATTTACATGACTCACAACTTTCAGTAAAAACATACATGACTCACACACCTTTCAGTAATATACATGACTCACACCTTTCAGTAAAAATATATATAACTAACACCTTTCAGTAAAAATATACATGACACACCTTTCAGTAAAAATATACATGACTCACACTCTTCAGTAAAAATATACATGACTCACAACTTTCAGTAAAAACATACATGACTGACACACCTTTCTGAAAACATACATGACTCACACCATTTAGTAAAAACATACATGACTCACACATTTCAGTAAAAATTAAAAATATAAATGACTCACACCTTTCAGTAAAAATATAGATGACTCACACCTTTCAGTAAAAACATACATGACTGACACACCTTTCTGAAAACATACATTACTCACACCATTTAGTAAAAACATACATGACTCACACCTTTCAGTAAAAATATACATGACTCACACCTTTCAGTAAAAATATAAATAACTAACACCTTTCAGTAAAAATATGCATGACACACCTTTCAGTAAAAATATACATGATTCACACTCTTCAGTAAAAATATACATGACTCACACCTTTCAGTAAAAAAATACATGACTCACAACTTTCAGTAAAAACATACATGACTGACACACCTTTCTGAAAACATACATGACTCACAACATTTAGTAAAAACATACATGACTCACACCTTTCAGTAAAAATATACATGACTGACACACCTGTCTGAAAACATACATGACTCACACAATTTAGTAAAAACATACATGACTCACACCTTTCACAGAAAACATACATGACACACGCCTTTCAGTAAAAATATACATGACTCACACCTTTCAGTAAAAATATACATGACTCACACATTTCAGTAAAAATTAAAAATATAAATGACTCACACCTTACAGTAAAAATATAGATGACTCACACCTTTCAGTAAAAATATAGATGACTCACACCTTTAAGTAAAAATATAGATGACTCACACCTTTCAGTAAAAAAAATACATGACTCACACCTTTCAGTAAAAATATACATGACTCACACCTTTAAGTAAAATTATACATGTTTCAAACCTTTCAGTAAAAATATACATGACTGACACACCTTTCTGAAAACATACATGACTCACAACATTTAGTAAAAACATACATGACTCACACCTTTCAGTAAAAATATACATGACTGACACACCTGTCTGAAAACATACATGACTCACACAATTTAGTAAAAACATACATGACTCACACCTTTCACAGAAAACATACATGACTCAAGCCTTTCAGTAAAAATATACATGACTCACACCTTTCAGTAAAAATATACATGACTCACACATTTCAGTAAAAATTAAAAATATAAATGACTCACACCTTACAGTAAAAATATAGATGACTCACACCTTTCAGTAAAAATATAGATGACTCACACCTTTCAGTAAAAATATAGATGACTCACACCTTTCAGTAAAAAAAATACATGACTCACACCTTTCAGTAAAAATATACATGACTCACACCTTTAAGTAAAATTATACATGTTTCAAACCTTTCAGTAAAAATATACATGACTCACAACTTTCAGTAAAAATATACATGACTCACACCTTTCAGTAAAAAATATACATGACTCACACCCTTCAGTAAAAATATACATTACTCACACCTTTCAGTAAAAATATACGACTCACACACCTTTCAGTGAAAACATACATGACTCACACACCTTTCAGTGAAAACATTCATGACTCAAACCTTTCACTGAAAACATACACGACTCACATCTTTTAGTGAAACCAACATGAGGGAAAATGAGAGGGATACTAATGAGCTTACCTAAACAGAACACAGCAGGATATATATTTGCCCTGTCTTGGATCTATCATCATCATCTGATTAGCTGGCTCAAAACATGACCGAACAATCTCTCCAACGGACAACCTCTCACTATGTGCCTGTGGGAGTATAAAGAAGTATATGTTTGTGTCTGTATGTGGCTTTTGTCCTGGTTTCTCATTCTTTGAGCCCTGTGATAATTCAGTACTGTTGGTTTTATCACATATATATATATATACATATGGTTGTGTGTAAAAAAAAAAAGGCAGGCAATGGTGTCCAACAAAAAATAATGCTGCTTTTATCTATTAAAATTAAAGACTAAAATAATGTCAGTTAAAAACTGCGAACAGAACATTTCTAGTCGTAGAAATTAAAACTGATTAATATTCCTAAATGTTTTTGTGTTCTGTAAAGGCACGCCGCCAAAAAGAAATCTTGGAAGGGGGAGAGGAGGGGCCTCAGTCCCCTTATAATTGTCTAGGGTGGGGCTTAAGCGACTTAATTCTTGTTTAAGTGTGCAAACAATAATACATTATCATAATTAATACCTTTTGAATAGCAAATAAGTAAAATAATTCTATATAACTGAAATATGAAATATATAAACAAATACTTTTAAAAAGAACATCTTATACATGACATGACTTGGGAAACCATTTAGCCTTAGGACCTCCTTCCCCTCATAGCCTGTCCACCCAACACTTTTGAGGGAACTCCCGTGCTTGAGCCCTCAGTTTCCAGTGCCTATGGCCATATATGAGAGTTGTGCAGTCAACAAGAGCACCGCTGGTCACTGAGTTTAGAGAAAAAAATCTTCAGAAAATGGAAAATCAGTCCTGTGTTGTTATTTATGCTATGCAGAAAGACTACCTCGCGGCTCCCAGAAGATTTTCTGTGGGGTCATCGAGCAGTGGTGATCTATAAAAATTCTTTTAAAGAAAAAAAAAAGAAAATTATGTCTTTGCGCCCTACTCTTTGCTGCTCAGTTTTTGATTGGTCGATTCTTAATTATATGTGCGTGCTGACTGTTTCTTGCAGGCAGCAATAGGTATTCTTCAATGCCAGTTAATTCTGTCTGCTAAATATAATAAAGACTCAAATAATCCCGCATTATGAGAATCTGACGCCTAGCACAACCATTGTATTACTTCCTTGCTTTGACCAGCCAAGCAGCAAGCCCAGAACAAACAGCCACTGGCCGAGCATTGCTGTATGGTCCAGACACCATAGTCATCACTGTAGCAGAGTCAACATATCCAAATTTTGTAACTAAACTCAATTAAAACAAAATCTTAAGTTAAAGCTATTTCCTCATCAGCATGTAGCTCTCCTATAGAACTATTTAGACAGCTACATAAAAATATTATTATATTTTTTTATGAATCAAAACCATTTGTAGTTTTTAATTTTTACATTTATCATACAAAAAGAGCGAATTGGGTAACTAATTTTATGATGTTAATTATTTGATATTTTTTTTCATTTTATGTACAGATTTGAATTGTGTGTATATGCACGTGTGTGTGTGCGTGTGTGTGTGTGCGTGTGTGTGTGTGTATGTATGCACGTGTGTGTGTGTGTGTGTGCGTGCATGTGCTTTTCCTTTGAGATGCTTCATTGCTAAAGTAGAAAGTGATGACATTGATAACGAAGATTATTTTGGTGATGTAATGTTGATGATGCTGGTGGTGGTGGTGGTAATGATGGTGATGATACAATTTATAAACACACAGCTTAGAAAAAATACTAAGAACCGTTTTTCTCTGTAATCATGTCTAACATTTCTAGTAAGTAATTTACTTTCAAATGAACTGTATGAATTACTTTTAAATGAACTGTACAAATTACTTTTAGATGAACTGTATGAATTACTTTCAAATAAACTTTACAAATTACTTTTAGATGAACTGTATGAATTACTTTCAAATGAACTGTACAAATTACTTTTAGATGAACTGTATGAATTACTTTCAAATGAACTGTACAAATTACTTTTAGATGAACTGTATGAATTACTTTCAAATGAACTGTACAAATTACTTTTAGATGAACTGTATGAATTACTTTCAAATGAACTGTACAAATTACTTTTAAATGAACTGTATGAATTACTTTCAAATGAACTGTACAAATTACTTTTAGATGAACTGTATGAATTACTTTCAAATGAACTGTACAAAATGTGGTATTACATCCAGAGATTACAATGAGAATGTGACAAGCCAAGAGTTTGTTAACACCTATAAAGTTACAAATAGACATCAATAGCTTTCAAACTATATTACAAGCACTCTGATGTTAGTTCTTAACTCGACTTATCTCACATACAAAGGGAATAATTTGGGCGTTTTGTAACAAAAATATTTTTTATTTTTTAAATACTCGTCACTCTTGCTTGCCTGCAAGAATTTTTTTTTTAACCCCAGGCAGCTTCTTCTGTTAAATTTATTTTGACAAAACCTAAAATTGCCAACAAATTGTTTGTGTATAATCATTAGAAGCTTTTATCTCCTGGTCAAAGACGTCCACGAAATAAATATGTTACTTCATAGTCACAAAATTTTAATATTTCCTGCCTAGTCCTTCTGTTCCATTGCCACTGGGAAGTTGTGAAACATAATTTAACGAAACAAGTCTATTTTCTCTTTGATGTGTTCTTTGGCTATTTATGAAGTCCTGACAGGAATTCATCACTATATCTTCTGATCGCACTTATTCTGAGACTTAAAAGAAAAAGCATACACCTTTTAAAACCTCCACTACATGGATTACTATTCTGTATGATTGGTGTAATTATGTCTGGTTTTATTGCTTTATTTCTTTCTTGTTTCCCACTCAATTCCTTTTTCTTCCTTTCTTCTAATTATTTTATTTTAAATGCCCATGGAAATGTGGTTCGATGCAAGAATGATTTAAATTCATGGAATAGCCATTATCATAATCACCATTTGCCTACAAGAAAAGGCTGTCATGTCTGCCTTCTAAGAGAATTATGGATCAGGTCAGTGTTCTTGCACTTTCCCGATTCATATAACTAAACCATGTAGGTACTTTTCCCTTTGCCTTCCCATTACACTTTTTTTATCAATTCTTGCTGATCGTCACCAAGTTTCTGCTTCCATTCTTTTTCATAACATGTACTAATAGTGAATTATAAAATTCTCACACCCAGACAGTTGAGGTATGGGCTTAGATTAAAAGCTATATTTAACCCCTGCTAAGAATAGCTTCGGTTATGATTGTGGTCTGGTTTTATCTGTGCCATATTTAACAGTTTAAATTGTTTGCTTTGCCAAAAGCTGTGGCTTATTCTAAGAGTGTGAAGCTATCGCTCTGAACATATCTGGGTCCTCTATTCTGGTCCTGTGGTCCGAATGAGGGTTCCACTTTTCATGACCTTTTTTCCAGCTGTACTCTTGTTCCCCAGTGGGGCTGTTTTCATTATGTCCAGTCTTTTATCTTTGAGATCTTGTTCTCATGTGTGTTGTGTATCCTTTTATATGGGTCAGTCCTAATAAGGTTCCATACAGTTCTCTTAGCATCCCCAGTGATAACTTAAGTTTTCACCAGTACTGCTTTGTACTGCATCGTGCTTAGTTTTAAAACTGGGAATGTCATTAATGCTGATCTCTTCTGGCGACCCAGGTCTGCATTAACAAATTTGAAGAAGCATCTGGCGTGGGTTTGCATTTGCTACACAGATGCTCACTTGTATCATAGTCTACATCTTGCTCTCCTACCTTTGACTTTTCCCTTATATGGTTTTAAAGAGGTAATGTGGCCAAAATATTTCAATTGTCTTTTTTTTAACTCTTTTCATTCAGTCTCTTCAGAAAACGAACATCCTAAAATTTCTCTTTTCATGAAATACAACCTATTCTTTTGTATCTGACCTTAAAATGCAACCTATTCTTTTGTTTCTTTCCATGAAATACAAACTATTCTTTTGTTTCTTTCCATGAAATACAAACTATTCTTTTGTGTCTTTCCATGAAATACAACCTATTCTTTTGTATCTTTCCATGAAATAAAACCTATTTTTTTTATCTTTCCATGAAAAACAACCTATTCTTTTGTATCTTTCCATGAAATACAACCTATTCTTTTGTATCTTTCCATGAAATACAAACTATTCATTTGTTAACTTTTCATCTTTTCATTTTTGAATGTTAACATCTAAACCATACACCACACTCTGCCCATTTACTTGGTCACTCAGGTCATGTAACTACTGTTCAAACCAAACCATAATAAACCCCCACTTGACTCGTTGACTTATACTCAATTACAGAAACAAATCAGAGAATTTGAACTGAAATGTTTGACAAAAACTTGAGAATACTGTGGATCAAGAACAAGAGAAACACTGGCATGCTACATGATCTGAACATCCCATCCTACATGATCTGAACATCCCATCCTACATGATCTGAACATCCCATCCTACATGATCTGAACATCCCATCCTACATGATCTGAACATCCCATCCTACATGATCTGAACATCCCATCCTACATGATCTGAACATCCCATCCTACATGATCTGAAGACTGGGAAGAACTGGCTCATAAAAAGCATCCCATCCTGAAAGCTGAGATATTTTGACCATGTTAAACATCATAGTGGCCTGGAAAGAACAGGAATGAAGGGTGATGAAGGCACTTTTTTTTAATAATGAGGCATCAGTAGAGCTCCATGAATGTGGGGAAAAAAGAGATTGAAGATGCATTGGCTATGAAAGCAAATAGGGCTGGAGAACTAGCTAGAGAAAGAGAGCCATTCTGCCATACCATGACAAGAGCGAGGTTCTGTAAAGGATTGGCTGAATGATGAATAAATCTCTGTGTAGAATCAGCATCAAGGCCGATTCTTTTTATAATTCCAGATTTTTCTTATACTTCTTCTTTCCATTCTTTTTGCTTCTTCTATGGAACTGAAACATGGTCACTGAGAAAATTACGATACAAAAGTAAATTGAAGCTTCTAAAATGATGTTATATAATTGGAAAATGAAAGTTTTCACAGCACAAAAAGATACTAAATTGTCTTGAATGCAAAGGCTATTAAATAAGAATATAAAAGTACTTGGTCTGTTAGACAAAAATGTAGCTTCTGGTATTTAAAAAAATGTATTTGTCAAATGATAAACTACGTGTGATCACCTACCTTCTCTGCTGATATAATCGGAGCATATGTGACAGTGGGAAAGTGGATTCGTGGATACGGGACCAGGTTGGTCTGGAACTCCGTGAGATCCACGTTCAAAGCCCCATCAAATCTATGATAATACAGTAAATAAAATTGAGTGCCATCTTCAAGATAGATGTCGACTGCTGTGTATTCACGTTAGCTGTTGGAATATTATATAGTGAGGTCCCCTTATCTCTGATCCTCACATACCACTGTCTGAAAGCTACAAGAATGTTCTGGTTTTTTTTTTTTTTATAACTCGTTCATCCCAGAAATCAAACCATGGTAAACAATGGGGGTTACATTGTGAATTGTTTTAATTAAACCAAGCTACAGAGCCACACATAATGCAATAACAGTATTTTATTTCTCATAAAAAGTATTAACAATGTGTGAAAACAAAGAGAGCCCTGGTATTGCAGTATAAGGACGTGTGTTTGCCAGTCTGAATCTCTGCCGTTAGAATCAGCATCAATGTCAATTCTGCACCTACTTTTTCTACTATCCATTTTTCCTGCTTCTTCTTTTCGTTCTCGCAGCCAGAGTTTTTCAGATTAGAAGAATGCAGGCCTCTTTGATAACTTTTATGTGACATATATCATCCGCTGATTCAAGCAGCTTGGTGTCTGCTGGCATGCTAACTAGCCAAATCTGGGATCTTTCTGCTGCATATGTTGATTATTCCGGTATGCTCTGTTGCAATGTGCTCTGCTAGGGGTTTGTTTTTACACGACACATTGCTGTATTGATGTACACTTAGTTGCTATGACACAAAATAAAACGAATGTTCAGTTAAAGAGCTTTTTTCGCTGAATCAAACATCTCACTGACAGCAGATTCTTTCGTCCTCGTGGTCGCTATGCATGGCTGATTTCTGATGACCTGGCCAACTCTCTTGCACACTGCTTTGCTCCATTCGTATCTCTCGAATCACATATCCATATCATACTAAAGCCTTGTACCTGGTATTAGTACATGTTGAAATTGGCAATTAGGAAACATTCATGTCTTCTCTCGAACAATTATACGTGGTCACAAGTTCTCCATTCTCATCAGGTGTTATCTCGCATACGACCGCACACAACCAGGTCCGAACTTCAACTGACTTACTACCGTCTCTAGGTTTACGTCTTCCGTTCCAGTCTCATGCTTTTCTTGTATCCCTTATTTGCTCACCACGGGATACTCGAGACCCACTTATCTCATTTTCCTCTGGTATCACTGGTCCTCTGACCTTGTCTTCCCCATCGGGAACTCTCTGGGATTTCCCTTGAATTCATACCATAACACCTGTCTACAAGGGCAATGTCCTGAAATCCTAATTTTGAATTTCCTGTACATGTGGCTTTAGATCTGTTGTGTCCACTATGCAATCTAAATATAATGGTCTGTTGTTTCTATGTCTTCTTCTTCACCAGCTATAAACTCTGGCAGACTTTAGCCTTGCTCCAGAAGTATTGCATGCACATCTGTTCTTGTTTTCCCCACACTGGGGTTTTTGGAATCAACAGGGAACTTTCATGTGAGGATTGTGTTTTGGAGGGGAAGTGACCCAGTGGGTTTAAAGGACTATTTTAATTTTAATTGTGCATTCTACATCTGACTAATCTGCATTTCTCCCATTTTTTGCTAAGCCGTCTGCTCTTTCATGTCCTGTAATGTTACAATGGTCTAAGATCACCTGCAAAATAATCTGCATGGTCAACTTAAACATTGTTTTTTATTCTAGTATTATAACTGTCGAATTTAGTCTTTACATGAGCAGAATCCAAGTAAGGTGTTCGTTGCCACAGTTTTATGCTAATTTGTCACTTCCTACGCTAATTTGTCAATTCCCGTACCCTTTCTCTGTGTGAGAGGATCCAAACCCACCTACATTACAATATTGACCTTAATGTTCTTTATTACACAGGCCATCTTACCTCAATGAAGCAGTTAGTGACGAGACAATCTGACCAATGATTCGGTTGATGTTGCTAAATGACGGGCGTTCAACGTCGAGATTTCTCTTGCAGATGTTAAAGATAGCTTCATTGTCCACCAAGAAGGCACAGTCTGAATGTTCTAGTGTGGTATGCGTGTTCAGTACAGAGTTGTAAGGCTCAACCACTGATGAGGACATCTGTGGATTTTAGAACATAAAAAGTTAGTTGTGTATCGTACAGGTTGTTCCAAAACCAACCTCCACTTGTTTTTTTTTTTTTTTGGCTGTCTGATTTTACTAGGCAATTTGCCATTTCTCCCTGAACAGTTGGTTTTTGATACCACTATCAAAATCAATGGAAGATATCTACTGCCAAATTGTCTACAGCTAGAATCAAACCTGGTACCTCAGAAACTGGAATGTAGGTCTTTATTAACTGAAAGTCACTGTGGTATAGTAGAACGGTTGCCTTCAATAGTGTGGTCCAGATACTAACCCTAGAAGGAGTGGGATGATCTTTTTCGCAAAGTTCAGCTCTGGAGTCAACCCAGCAAATGGGCGCTGATAAATAAATGATCAGACAAAACAAATACACCATCCATTAAACACAGCGTGTCGTTTAAACAGCCCCATTCATCAGAGATTTGTTAAATTGTTATGCCACCTGGCTAGCAAAAAACAAGTATCCTGCCATTTTTCTTTAACCAGTGAAAGTTGCATGGTTATGTATGCAGCATGAAGCTATGGATGGACATTAATCCTGTTTCACTCTCAGAAAAGTTGAAGCAGTTGAGTTGATGAGAAGCTTTGATTCATGGATGGCAATTTTGTTTAGCTACTAACAAATTAGTCCCATTACTCAATTGTTGGAAGGGGTATACCACAGACTAAAAATGTTAAGGCTTGACAGACAGTTAAAAGTCAGTAAGTGCTATGGAACTACTTCTTCCTTTACTTTGAATACTGTTAAATGTTTTATTATTACATTACATTTAATGAAACAGAACAATAATACATTGTTTCAATGTGTAGAGAAATTGTGTAAATGTTATGTTATAATGCGTATATTAGCTGTATGTTTGCTGATGATGTTAAATTATACTTGGTATTTTAGGTATATTCTTGCTATTAAAAAAAAATTTTTGAAAAATTATTGCAGATTACTCAGGAACCAAAAATCTGATAAAAAGCACATTAAATTCATGTGGCAATAGTCCTGAAATCCCATGCACTAATTGTGCAAACTTTTTTAATGAGGGCAGGTCTTGCCAATAACACCTGCCATCATCATGGGCTGATTTCAATGTCTCCTTATTTCACAATATAATACTGTCTTCTAGAAATAAGGAATGGTGTCTGTGACTTGCTAATACATGTTAATTTGATCTATTTTAAAAACAGAAATTGCTCCAAAACAAAATGGTGTACAGGTTTATTACCTGTGGTGAAGGATAGATAGCAAATTCCAATTTACATTTCTTGCCGAAATCCACGGAAAGTCTTTCCATTAGCAGAGCGGTAAAGCCTGACCCAGTGCCACCACCAAAACTGAATCGTTGAAGAGAATTAATTACTAGCCACTGTCTGGTGCTCAAACCAGAATAAACAGAGTATCTTGAATAAGTTAGTTAGTGTACTGTCTGGTACCCAACACAGAAGAAACAGGGTAGGTTAGGTAATGTACTGTCTGGTACCCAACACAGAAGAAACAGGATAGGTTAGGTAATGTACTGTATGGTACCTGACACAGAAGAAACAGGGTAAGTTAGGTAATGTACTGTCTGGTACCCAACACAGGAAGAAACAGGGTAGGTTAGGTAATGTACTGTCTGGTACCCAACACAGAAGAAACAGGGAAAGTAAGGTAATGTACTGTCTGATATCCGACACAGAAGAAACAGGGTAGGTTAGGTAATGTACTGTCTGATACCCAACACAGAAGAAACAGGGTAGGTTAGGTAATGTACTGTTTGGTACCCAACACAGAAGAAACAGGGTAGGTTAGGTAATGTACTGACTGGTACCCAACAAAGAAGAAACAGGGTAGGTTAGGTAATGTACTGTCTGCTACCCAACACAGAAGAAAAAGGGTAGGTTAGGTAATGTACTGTCTGGTATCCGACACAGAAGAAACAGGGTAGGCTAAGTAATATACTGTCTGGTACCCAAAACAGAAAAAAAATAGGGTAGGTTAGGTAATGTACTCTCTGGTACCCAACACAGAAAGAACATTGTAACTTAGGTAATGTACTGTCTGATACATAAAAACTGTCTGGTACATAGTTACTGTCTGGTACATAGTTACTGTCTGGTACATAGTTACTGCATGGTACATAGTTACTGCCTGGTAAATAGTTACTGTCTGGTACATAGTTACTGTCTGGTACATAGTTATTGTCTGGTACATAGTATTTGTTTATACATTTCATATTCCATTAAATATATTATTATATTTATTTGCCACCAGACAGTATGTTACCTAATATACTCCATAAAATTCATGAGGTTGCTGGACCTATCCTCTTATCCATCCACCTACCCTATCCTCCATATTGAGTCAGTCAGTCTATTAGTCTGTCTGTGTCTCACTCTGCAAATCTCTCTTTCTCTTTCTATCTCTATACCTACCTCATCATCATCATCAATCAGCAAGTCCTTTACAGAACGTCGCTCTCTACACGGCAAGCCTGAAAGTATCCCTTTCCCTAACCAACTCTCCGGCACCATGTGCTTTCAATGCCAATGCATCTTCAATGTCCTGTATCCATCTTCAAGGTGCTTGACTCCTGCCTCACCTTCCACAAACTGCACCTTCCATCACCGTATTTTCCAAGCCACCATGATGCTTGATATGGCCAAAATACTTCAACTTTCAGGACAGGATGCTGTTTACGAGCCAGTTCTCCTTGATATTCAACTCATTCAGAATGTCAGTGTTTTTCCTCTTCCTGATCCATGGTATTCTAAGAATTTTTCTATAACATTTCAATTCAAAAGCTCCAATCTCTTTCCTCAGTGACTGAGTGAGAGTCCAAGACTCACAACCATAATTTGCTACAGGAAAAATGAATGATCTCAAGATTTTTACTTTAACCAATTGACTAGTGCTTTGCCATAGGTTCTTCATGTTATTTAATCTCTGCATTGCTAATGCAAGTCTTCTTCTGACTTCTTTTGAGCAGTCGCCACTGTTGTTCACTAAAGAGCCCAAGTATTTGAAATCTGTTACATTTTCTATTTCTTCATTTTCAATTGTGATATGTGGTTGGTGTGCGCTGTATTTACTGAAGACAGAATTTATATTTTTTTTTTTTTTTTTAAATAAAATTCAGAAACAGATTCACTTCTGTGCTGAGTTTTTTGACGGCCAGAATTAATTTTTCTAAACCTTGCACACCGTTGGAAAGGAAAACTGTGTTGTCTGCATATCTGAGTTCTGGGATAGGTTTACCTCCAATTTTTAGTGGATTAAAGCTCTCACATGCCTCATCGCTAATTGCATTTTTCATAACATTTTCAGCATATATATTAAAGACGGAGGGTGAAAGAATGCAGCCATGTCTCACGCCTTTCTGCACTTCATTCTGATGTTTCACCAGCTGCTCTAACCGCTGCTTGTTGTTTGTGGTAAAGAGATTCCATTAAGTGCACCAGATGCTTTGGAAATCCTATGCCTCTCATTATATGTTATAGTTTATGGTGTTGCACACAATCAAATGTAGTCTATGAAACAAGTATGAGGATCTATCTTGTATTCTCTAAACTTCTCTAGGATGATTCTCATATTGAAAATATGGTCTCTTGTTTCCCTGCCACCTCTAAAGCCTGCTTGTGTTTCTTGTAGTTCATATTCCAATTTATTCTCAATCCTCCTCAGAATAATATGCGGAAGGATTTTGCTGGCATGACTAACTAGAGCAATAGTACGATAGTTGTTACATAATTTGAGATTTGCTTTGGTAGGAGCGGGGGGGGGGGGGGGGGGGGGATGTATGCTGATCTTTTACATGCTTTGGGCCTGTCAGCACAGTTCCAGAAATGTTCTCCTTTAGTCCGAATTAACTCTGTTGGTATGTATTCACATCCCAGAGATTTGCCTGTTTTCCAGTTCTTACACACAACTGCCAGACCTACATATGACACTTCAGGAAATACTACAGCTCACTACACACAACTGCCAGACCTACCTATAACACTTCAGGAAAACTGCAGCTCAATACACACAACTGCCAGACCTACATATGACACTTCAGGAAATACTCAGCTCCCTACACACAACTACCAGACCTACATATGACACTTCAGGAAATACTACAGCTCAATACACACAACTGCCAGACCTACATATGACACTTCAGGAAATACTGCAGCTCCCTACACACAACTTCCAGACCTACATATGACACTTCAGGAAATACTGCAGCTCCCTACACACAACTGCCAGACCTACATGTGACACTTCAGGAAATACTGCAGCTCACTACACACAACTACCAGACCTACTTATGACACTTCAGGAAATACTGCAGCTCCCTACACACAACTACCAGACCTACATATGACACTTTAGGAAATACTGCAGCTCCCTACACACAACTACCAGACCTACATATGACACTTCAGGAAATACTGCAGCTCCCTACACAGAATTACCAGACCTACATATGACACTTCAGGAAATACTGCAGCTCACTACACACAACTACCAGACCTACATATGACACTTCAGGAAATACTGCAGCTCACTACACGCAACTACCAGACCTACATATGACACTTCAGGAAATACTGCAGCTCACTACACACAACTACCAGACCTACATATGACACTTCAGGAAATACTGCAGCTCACTACACACAACTACCAGACCTACATTTGACACTTCAGGAAATACTGCAGCTCCCTACACACAACTACCAGACCTACATATGACACTTCAGGAAATACTGCAGCTCCCTACACACAACTACCAGACCTACATATGACACTTCAGGAAATACTGCAGCTCACTACACACACAACTACCAGACCTACCTATGAAACTTTAGAAAATACTACAGCCCCCTTCACACACAACTACCAGACCTACCTATGAAACTTTAGAAAATACTACAGCCCCCTACACACGCAACTACCAGACCTACTTATGTTACTTCAGGAAATACTGCAGCCCACTGCACACGCAACTACCAGACCTACTTATGTTACTTCAGGAAATACTGCAGCCCACTGCACACGCAACTACCAGACCTACCTATGAAACACCAAAAAGCCCTGCAGACCACTACACAAGTCTGCTGACTTCCTGATCCTGTCCATGACCAGATCAATGATCTCCTTGCCCACAGTGTAGTGACCTCTGGCGTAGTTATTGGCCGCATCCTCCTTTCCAGTAATCAGCTGCTCAGGGTGGAACAGTTGCCGATAGTCACCTAATCGGACTTCATCTGCAAGACAATGAGTTGAAATGTATGTTAAACAAGCAAGTAAAATAATGAGCATTGCTTTAAATGAGTGGGAAAATTTTAAATCATATGTTAAACAAGTGAGAGGGAATTCTGGGCTATCCTTCGAATAACGGTCCCAAATTATCAAAGCTAAGAAAATACCCTAACAGGGCCTCAGTTATATGTAAATTGCGGACCTCTTTCCCGTGACCATTCTGCCACTGCAGAGAGTATCCCCAGTGCCGATACGCACAGCGTGAAGGGGGTCTAAACTAGATGGCTGGGACTCATGGAGGAAGCTGCAGGAGATGCTGTAGCTGCTGTTGTGAGTCTCAGCCATCTAGTTTAGCCGCTAACAGATACATATGAAATTAAAACAGGTGTGAAACATGGATGTCTTGTGTCGTCTCTAGTATTTTTACTGGCTATAGACTGGATTATGAAGACAGTAACTGCTAACACCAAGAATGGAATTCAGTGGACCCCTACACAACAGCTTGATGATCTGGACTTCGCTGATGATATTTCACTTTTGTCCCACTCATGGAATCAGATGCAAGAAAAATTCAATATACTTGATGAGAGATCACAGCTAGGTCTGAAAATCCACAAGGGAAAAACAAAAATTATGAGAATAAATCAGGCAAATAGTAATGTGGTTTCTCCTAATGGTACCCTACTCCAAGACGTGGAGTCGTACACCTATTTGGGCAGTAATGTAGATAAAGATAGGGTAACTGATAGAGATATTAAAATACAAATACAAAAAGGCAAGAGGAGCTTTCATAGCATTAGGGAATATGTGGAGGTCAAAAGACATTAAAACTAATACTAAACTCATAATTTGTAATTCTAATGTCAAATCAGTACTGTTATATGGAGCGAAAACATAGAGAACAACTAAGGCAATTACTAATAAACCTCAAACATTCATTAACTGGTGCCTGGGCAGAATAGAGGAAATTAAATGGTATTAGAGAGCTTTGGGAGAGAACTAAGCACGCTCCAGTTGACAAAAAGGTTGAGAAAAGACACTGGTATTGGATAGGATACATATTGAGAAAACCTGAGAACAATATAACTAGAATGTCTTTGTGCTGTAACCCACAGGGGCATAGAAGTAAAGGAAGACCCAAAAATTACATTGAGAAGGGAGCTAGAGAGTGAAGATACAAAATGGTAAAGACATGAAGAGAGCTGCGTGTGAAGGTGAAGGATAGATTACCAGTGAAGGATAGATTACCAGTGAAGGATAGATTACCAGTGAAGGATAGATTACCAGTGAAGGACAGATTACCAGTGAAGGACAGATTACCAGTGAAGGATAGATTACCAGTGAAGGATAGATTACCAGTGAAGGATAGATTACCAGTGAAGGATAGATTACCAGTGAAGGATAGATTACCAGTGAAGGATAGATTACCAGTGAAGGATAGATTACCAGTGAAGGATAGATTACCAGTGAAGGATAGATTACCAGTGAAGGATAGATTACCAGTGAAGGATAGAATGACTTAGCGTGAGTTTGTTGAACATTGTGTAATATAAGTGAAAGAAATGTACATGCTTGTGTGTGTGTGCATTGTGTAATATAAGTGAAAGAAATGTTGAACATTGTGTGATGTAAGTGAAAGAAATGTTAAACATTGTGTAATATAAGTGAAAGATCCCCGTGTGGGTTCTGGGGCCCTGTTATAGGGAAAACAAGAATAGACCCACTGCCTACCTAAAAGCATGTCGTAAGAGTCGACTGACTGGGAGCTTTCTTCAAAGTCAGAGTGCATCTGTCTGAGAGGCAAGGAACCAGCAGTCTGCATACAAATGAGTCAGATCTGTAAAACGGATGCACACGCAACTCAGGTTCTGGAAAAGGACTGCAGTCCAGAGAGGGATAAACAACCAGAACTTTACACCAGAGTTTACAGCTGGTGGATGCAAAAAGACGAAGAAGATAAGTGAAAGAAATATTGAACATTGTGCCAATTAAATGAAAGAAATGTAAAATCTCTTCATAACAGAATAAGGGGCTAAATGAAAACACACATTAACTAAATGCTCTATGAAGATATTAACTAATTAACTGCTCTATGTAGATATTAACTAATTAACTGCTCGATGTAGATATTAACTAATTAATCGCCCTATGTAGATATTAACTAATTAATTGCTCCATGTAGATATTAAATAATTAATTGCTCTATGTAGATATTAACTAATTAATTGCTCTATGTACATAATATTAACTAATTAATTGCTCCATGTAGATATTAACTAATTAATTGCTCTAAGTAATTAATTGCTCTATAAATGTGTATGTTTGATCTTTTACCTACAACAGTAGGCTCCAGATCTACTAACAGGGCCCTGGGCACATGTTGCCCTGATGTGCTCTCACTGAAGAAAGTGTGCATAGAATCTCGTTTGTCGTCATCACTGGAGTTTTCCAGCTGACCATCGTGCTGTTAGAAACAAGGAATACATAGAAGACAGGATGAGAGCTTCCCATTTGTTAGGACCAGGAGTATTACCAACAAAAAGAATCATTCATTAGGGAGGGGGCTTTAGGGAGAGGTTCTCAGCCCCATGATAAATTTGCATGCACTGTCACAATGGGCTATAGTCTTGTAATCAAAATAATAAGCGTTATCATTATCATTGTTATGTGCTGAATTGCAAGTGAATACACATGTATAATAATTTATATAGCAATAACGAGAAAAGTATGAAGAGCATTAATTTGAAACCCGTTACAAAGGTTTTATTACAAAAGTATCAACAGGTGTGGCAGAATTAAACAACGCATTCCTTCTGAATGCATCATCCATGATGGGTTTAATCACAAAAAGTCACCCTAGACATTCAGGAAAGAATGCCCATTGATTTATGTAGACCGCGAATGAGTAGTCATGTTAACCCCCCCCCCCCTCTCCCCTACTAGGACCACAAAACAAGTGACCAACAGTCAGTGACACAAAGTGCCACCTTTTGGATAACAAGTGACCAACAGTCAGTGACACAAAGTGCCACCATTTGGATAAGAATTTCTAATGCAAAAGTCCCAGAAACACCATTTAACTGCTACATTCTATTAGAGCTCCCAGACGACGACCCGGGTAGGGTTCTTAAATTTATTTATTTTTTAAAAGCATCCTAAATGGAGACAGGGTTGAATATATCTACCACAAATATCGACCTCAAAACTAGGGTTGCTTATAGAACCAAGTGTTTAAAGTGTATAAAAAGGGTCTCTATGGCAAAGTGGTCAAGCTGTTTAAATCATGCTCTGAATGTCGTGGGTTCAATTTACAGCTGTGTCGTTCAGCTCACGAGTGCAATTTTTTACAGAAATTCCTGGGAATCGGCGCTCGAGCAATTGAATTCGTACACTGTGCGATGCTCTTGAAAGGTGGCCAGACAGACGGAGTCATAGGTGATAAAATTCAATGAAGTTAATCTTCTTGACTTAACCTTTAACATAAATAGATAAAAACTGTACATAAACTAAATAGAGAAATTAAATAATAGTGTGCCACCTCCACAATAAAGGTTGGCTGCAGGGCACCTAGTGCTGTCCTTGGAAACATTACATGGTGAGGCATAAATCTCTTTTACACTGTGTCTCTCGTTTGGATGTCCAAACAACCATTTGGGAAATCCAGCCCCGGTAGTTTTTGGCTGTCACAATTTTAGATGCAATTACGAATCACTATGTCACAGAACCACACAGAGAAGTTAAATAATACATGGTGTTTTAAAATTCCGCTGTCTCTGTTCTAAATATGCTTGTATGTGTGCATGTATAAACTGAACCTTAAACATAATACACTTTTTAGGGAGCAATTGTATCAATTAAGCATTAAAAATAATTAGGACTGTATTCGCTTCGTATTAACTTCGGGGCCGAATAGTGGACCTATTGACTATTCGGTATTTGGCCGAATAGTTGCGGTCGGGGCGAATACGAATAGTAGTTACCTTACACCCGCTTATGCATTCACGGCCTCAATACTGACAACATGGAACGATTAGTTTTGTTGAAAGCTAATGCAGCTTCCATGCATTAACTAAGCTGCCAGTGACAATTTCCAAGTTACCTGTTATAATACTTAGGATTCTTTCATTCCTAGTTATTAGTTACCACAGACTGACTGAAAGATGCAAACATAAAATGTTTTTAAATGTTCAGTATTCTGTACAAATACTAACTAGACATGGAAAATAAACTACGGCCACATGCAAGTCGATAATATGAAAATAAAAGAAAAGGAAACATATAAGTACTGGGCGCAAACTTCAACTGCTCCAACATGCTCCATAATCTATATATATATAAAAATCAATGTTTGTGTGTTTGTTTGCCCCCTATAGACTCGGAAACTACGGAACCGATTTAGCTGAAATTTTCAGGATATGTTTGTTTTACCGTATGTTGAACCATCATGGTTTGAAATTCAACCTGTCACTGTTAGAGATAGGTGACCACAATTTAAGCCATAATATTTGAAACTAATATTTATAATTTTAGTGATTTCTAATTATAGCCACGTTAGTAATTGCGCATGCGCCGTGCAGCCAACACCTCCTCTAATACATAGAGTAGGTCGCGGTACAGCAAACAAGACTATATCTATATCTGTGCAGGCAGTGATTGCCACAATAACTATATTAGACGCGATTTCTATTTTCTGTTTTTTTTTTTTCAAACATCCTTCGATGAGTTGAAAAGTAGCCGATGGATTGGTAGGGGAAAAGAGGGGGGGGGGCATTAGGGACTATCTCGACGTCTGTGCAGACATTGACTGCGACATTTACCGTGTTAGACACGTGCAATTTCTTTTGTTGTGCCGTTTCATTAATATATTTGGAATATCTGTCTATGAGAAAACAATTGCCTGCTATTTTGAGTTGTGTTATAATCGAGACACTGCAGACACTTAAAATAGTTAAGTTGTCTTTTCATTGATCCGATTAAGTGGCTGCTTGGTCAAATGGTTAGAACACTGGGTCCCTGTGCGGGAGACCAGGGTTCGAATCCGCAGTGGTTAATTTTTTTTTACCCTGGACTAAAATAATATCCTCATCTGCTCTGTTGTGGTGACAGCACTAGCCATGTTGCCTTAATACTTGAAAAAAAAAAAGTCAAGTAAATGGGTAAACCATTTGATAATTAAATTTGACCATTTCACATACTTATGATTTCATTTTAAACTTTTCGATTGCATGGTTACGCTGAAATTTCATAGCTTTCCATTTATTTTCATTCAGATTTAATGATTTCATCTGTGTTGGAATTTTAAGCTGTGCTGTTTACCATAGCGTTCATTTCCTAATTCTGGTGTATTTTTCCTGTTTTAATTGCTTTTCAATTGGTTTTTTTCCCCTCTCAACTACTTCGATGAGGGAAAGAGTAGTCGGTGAATTTGGGGGGGGGGGGGGGGGGGGAGCAAACTGATTGCTGAGAGAGCTTTAAGTCACAGTAACTGCTTTACCCACTCAAAGTAGCAGCAGCAGTAGTAGTTGTGGTTGGGCGGTTACACCGTAGTGCTCTCATGTGAAGACCGCCGGTAAGGTTATGGCATTCTTCTGTCGGGGAGCGAAATCATACATCCTAACCTGACCAGTCCGTGGCGACAGCACTAGCCATGCGGCGCAAAATCTTCTGGCTCACGACTCCCTGTCTACTCCGATGGTAAAACGCGGCGTGGGGGCATTGTGGCGGTAGCCATTGTTGCCGGAAAATCGCCATAAGACCGCAAATTAAGTAGCCGGAAGCGTGCAATTGACACAAGACCATGGCTCGAGCGGATAATTTTCCATCGCCATCTTTAGTGCCCGTTAATCGAAGGATAGCCAAAAACTATAAACACCCGAGAGAGGAATGGGCGTAGACCATGAAGCAGACAAAAAATAAGATCGAGAAATAATGTCCAGCCAGACCTGCTAACAACTGGTGTACAAATTGTGAAGAGAAGGTCAGTCAGAGAGATGAATAGAGATGAGTGATATCTGCAGCAGTAAACCTCAGGGCTCAGAATGCTAAAGAAGAAGATGACTATTCTGTGCTGCTTTATGTGAGATAAAATTTCAGCGTACATTTGACATTATGTCATGTTTTTTTTTATAGATATATTTTATACACTATTCGTATTCGTATGAATAGTTGATCCCGTTATTCCTTTTTGGCCGAATAGTGAAAATCACTATTCGGTACAGCCCTAAAATAATACAACTTACAATGAGTGACGGTTGTTAAGTAAACTGGATTTTAATTATTGTTAATTATTGTTATTGAAACTTTCAGTGTGCAATTAATGTATATCTACATTCAACCTCTTTCTTCTTCTTCTTCTTCTTCTTTTGCCTTTCTAACTCCCAATGGAGCATAGGCACTCAACCAATTCACACCAAGTCGTTCTATCCTTCGTTATATCATGCAGCTCTCCCCATGTCCTCGGCACCTTTTTAACTTCACTCTCCAGCTCCCTACACTATGTTTTTTAGTCTTCCTTTGTTATATTTCACCTGAAACCAGTTATTGTATGAAATCACTGACCTTGATACCATGCTCCAGACAGTAGAGCTCCCAGCATGCATTGCCCAGTTGTACTCCGGCCTGGCCGATGTGAATGGAGATGACTTCGCGCTGCAGAACAATAATATTATTATAATGAACATAGAGTAAACAAGTAAATAGAAGTCCCTTCTCCACACCTTTAGGCATTGTGGGCTTTTGAGCTAGATCTGCATTTTATAGACCAACTGGCACTCGGTGGGTGATGTGGTCAGCAGCACACTGGCTGCCTTTACTTCTCAGGACTTTACCTGGTAGTCAAGCTAGGTCGACTTGAGAGACAAAGTCATTTTTGAAAGAAGTTTAGCTCTGTTCAGGTTTGAACCTACAATCTTCTGATCCGCATGCGAGTGTCCAGTCACTACACCACTTTGCATTGTTATCAGAAATATTGTTCTATTAAAATTCTTTAGGTTGTGATAATGATAGGCAGTTCTATAATGATTGTTTAGAAAATCTTACTAACAAACACAGTATAGTTAAATAGAAAATCTTACTAACAAACACAGTGTAGTTAAAATAGTGGAATTATTACAAAGTGCTTGCTTGCAGCCAGATAAACTGGCTTAACTGGAAGGCAGGTCGTGCACCTGGTTTTTTTTTTCTTAATTTATTCATAAAAGAGTCTTTTTACAGCCAGAGGTAAATTAGGCTTATGAGGCTCATCATTAAGTACCTTGTCAACAGGCATGGGCGATCATGCCTCTCCCCAAATCTGTGATGTGTTGGGCCTCTCCGTGTCATGACAAAAGATTATCAAAAATTTTCTCGTGCTGTTTTCCTTTGTCTCTCTGTCCACAGATCTTTCCAGTGGTCACAACATGTTCCAGTTCCAAAAATAACAAAATACTGTCTCTTTCTGGTGTGTGTGATAAGTTATCTTGGAGCCCATATGAGGCTAGACATATTTTTATAGACCTCATTGGCTGAAATGCTTGGGCTCGGGTCTCTGATGATTCCCATTTTCAAAATGTTGGCCCCTGGGTATGAATAGCCTTGCCCTAAAGCCATGTATCTGACTTAGCAAAAGCAGCGGTATTCGAGAATCAGACACACACACAAAACGGAAAACACGTCTGTTTGCCCTTTTATGTAAATTTCTTTACCATATGCCTTATGTTAACTAAATACAGATATTTTTTGTTTTCCCGGATACCTTTATCTTCCTACCCCTTATTTGGGATGCAATGTTTTGTTATTTAAAGCCCTACTCTGGCTGTTGCCATGGACCGCAATATAGCCCGCCATAAATATTGTCTAATGGCTGAACACGGTTTCTGGGATCTCTCCACGGGTGATCCTCATCCACATGTTGGAACTTTGTGTCATCGGGTGTTTATCAATTGTGTGATGTCCTGGTGGGGTAAAAAAAGATAAGACAGATTTTCCTGAATATTTGTGTGTGTTTTATGTCAAGAACAATAACTCAGAAAATAACATGTCAATTCTATTTAAATCGGTTATGTCCCATTACTATTTGCTCTTATTTAGTATTGTCCATATTATCGTTGAACTGACCCAGAGCAGGCATCTGCATATATAACTTCTTCCTTATTTAACAATTCCCATTGTTACTGATGCCCTCATTCTCAACCAGTTCTCGCCAGGCTTGTTCAGGCTTCAAAAATGACAACGGCTTTCAGGTCGACCCTGCCTAGAATGGGTACCAGGCAAGATATTGAAGAGTACTGGCAGTCTACACAATGTTTTCCATCGAATTTCGTTTGCTCTACAAAAAATATGACTTATCTTATGTACGGTTGGACACTGGCGTCAAGAGGGTAACTTTTTTTAAAACATGGTAGGTTACAAATGTTAGAAAATAGTCTTACAGCGAATCTTTGGACCCATCAAAGATGCAAACAGGCGGGGAGTGGAGAGTGAGTGGCAACAACACAATTCATATTATGTTAAATCCCCACTGATCACTGGCGTCATGAGAGCTAATAGACTGAAATGGTTGGGGCATACTGAGAGAATGGCAGATGACAGAGAGGTAAAAACCGTACACACAATAGAGCTGAATGGTCGTAGACCACGAGGCAGACCAATAAATCTATAGAGAGATAATGTCCAGACAGACCCACAAACACTTGGTGTCACCAACTGGAAGAAGAATTCCAGCCAGGGAGATTATTGTAACGCAGCAATTAAGGCTCCTGATGCCCAAGAAGAAGAATACATGATAGATTACATTTAGCAGCTAATTTTCTTCTAGTATAAGGTAGACAGTCTCACATAAACCCTCTATCATCATCTCTAACACGCTGTGTAAGTTACATTGTTCCTGCTTTTGTTTCACATAATGGAACTGGTAACACATTGGCATATCGTGCTCCTAGTGGTATCATTTCCTGGACACATAAGTACAGCGGTTTTCAACCTGGGAGGGGGAGAGTTATAACGAAGTTTTAAGTGGAGCCTGAAGCAATTTTGAAATGTCATTTGTACTTATTAAAATAGGTCATACTAACGTGTGTTTTCCAGTTTCAAATAAATACAATATTTTTAGACTGTTTATAGAAGTATGGTTACAAAGTTTTTTTTTTTTTTTTAATCCAGAAACCATGAGTTGTAACCTTTTGGGTCGGTACTATGGATATCGCAACCCTTCGGTCTTGATTCCATAACAGGTATCGTAAATCTCGAAGATGTGTGGCTTGTCTGTCTACTGCCGGGAGTGAACCAGAACCACAAGGAGTTCGTCACCCGGCCGCCGCGAAGTCAGCTTTAACCAACTACGCTAGCGAGCCGGGCGAGATGATGTATTCGTGAGTAGTATGCACGTCTACGGTCAAAAGCCTAATTAACAGAATAACCGTTTTTGTTAATCACATTTTTTTTTAGTTGAAAAAGAAAGGTGGCGAGGTTCTTGTCATATACTGAGGGCGGCGCTACCAGAAAAAGTTTCAAAACCACTGCACTACAACAAACACATTAGGTAACAGGTTGCTTTCAAGCAAAGCGTCCACTTAAACATCAGTAGATCCAGTATGAATTATCGCGGGGACTAGATTTGTACAAATAACACACAGGATGGTGTACTATCCCCCGCCCGCCGGATCAGGGGTGACATAACGTGAGGACATATGCACCTTGAAGCGCCCCCCCCCCCTCCCCCCCAAAAAAATTTTTTTTTTAAATTACGGGCAGGTGTTGTTTTTTTTTTTTTCATGTAAACTGTCTACAGCGACATTTCTAACTCTAGTACACGAGGATCCTGAAATTGTTAATTGCATTGCCTAACCCTTAAACCACACGACAGTACTGTCCCAGTTACTCCCGACAGCGGCAAACTTCTTGAAGTTCCACCGCCATTTCTCAATCCTGACATCTTACACCCAATGGTATTAATATATAATACACTAAAAAAAAACAAGGACCCATTTCCACCCCTAAAGCGTATTGTGAACATAAGTCATCATCATCAGGTGCCTTGCCGACTGGCGTGGGCGATCACGCCTCTCCATAATCCACGATCTCCTGCAGCATGTATCATTTCGTGAGTCGACAGACCTCCATGTCAAGAATCTTCATAGTGAACATAGTGCTAGACCTATATTTTATAGACCAATCGCACTCTCTGTGTGATGCGGTCAACAACATGCCGACCGCCTGTACTTCCCAGGATTTCCCCAGGTACTCGTTTTAAGCCGGGTCGGCCTAGGAGCCAAATTCATTTTCGAAAATATTCCAATTGGATGTTGATTTCAACACGCCACATTCTTCGGTCTTGCGGGCGAGGCGAGCGTTCAGTCAGTTGCTAAGCATAAGTCACCTAATTATCTTTAGTTCGGACGCACCACTTATCTCAAACGTGAACACTTACATCCTCCAATGAACGTAAAATTGTGACAACAGAGATGAAATGCCTTAGAAGAGCTGCAGGAGTTTCAAGGAAAAACAGAATACGAAATCGGACGAATGCTAGAAATAAAGCCAGACAGAACTACATGTCATCAAAGAACAACAAATGAAGTGGTTTGGACACCTAACGAGAATGCCCTGGTACTATCTGCCACAGCGAGCCACACTAAAGCCTTACAACGGGTACAGAGCGAGTGGAAGACCTCGGAAAATGAAGAAGAAGAAGAAGAAGAAGAAGAAGAAGAAGAAGAAGAAGAAGAAGAAAAAAAAGAAGAAGAAGAAGCAAAAGAAGAAGAAGAAGAAGAAGAAGAAGAAGAAGAAGAAGAAGAAGAAGAAGAAGAAGAAAAAGAAGAAGAAGAAGAAGAAGAAGAAGAAGAAGAAGAAGAAGAAGAAGAAGAAGAAGAAGAAGAAGAAGAAGAAGAAGAAGAAGAAGAAACACATGTTGATCTTTTTTTTAAATAACGCAGGCACCACTGCAAACAGACATAAGTTTATTTGCCAGTTTTGAAAATGTACGCTAAGTCTACAATCTACGGCCACGCAGTGTTATTTTGAGCAAAGTATTTCTTTCTGATTGGTCTATAAAAAATATACTGTCTCTGTGTGTGGTGTATGTGTTGTACGCACATGCGTGTGTGTAAAAAAAATTATTTGATAGCGCGTTTTCATTAGTTTACGGGTGAGCCCGCATGCCTAAAAACAATAAAGACTTAAATGCAAAAGAACTGTCAATTGACTGGCTAAAGGTATTGTTGTGTGCAAATTAAACAATTTCAGTCATGAAATTACAAAGATTTTGAATGTCAAAATTATAACATTATGTTTCCTTCTGTAGGTATGCGTTTTTTTTTTAAGTGGCATCATATGTCCGAGCAATAGTGACTTTGAAATGGTCCGTTACGATATGTTAGCCTTGATTCTGCACTCTCGGTCACCCAGTGGCTGGAGGCCCGAAAGTATTAAAGTCGAATTTTTTTTTTTATAAGTGACCTGGATCCGTGAGCGGACCCAGCCTAAAATTAGCAGCCCGAAATATTATGGGATGTTGACCAAGGAACGCATAGCCCTTTAAAACTGAAATATTGTGGCTCTGTCCAGTGGCGTAGGCAGATCATGTGCTGCTACTCGGTATGCGGAAAATTCATCCATCCATCCATACATACATACATACATACATACATACATACATACATACATACATACAT